CAACAGGGTGTTACCCGATGACGAAATTAACAGACAAATATTGCAATAGAAATAAGCTGAATTTCAGCAGAACATACTATTTTAACTGCTGTGAACTGCGTCGTCTGTTGACAAGCTTATAAACTTAATTTGAAACGTAATGAGAATAAATAACTGCATCTCTAAGCAGAAAACAGTAAACCGTACATTTTACAAAGTTAACAATTGAAGATTATCATAACATTAAAAATTTTGACAATTATTTTAAACCAAAAGTGGTGTAGCAAAACACAAGGAAAATGGCACACAAGTGATGATTCTTGGCGTAATCAAAAATCAAGGACAGCTCTTAAATGTCAGGGAACACCAAAGAATGTTCATTTATAGTTCGTTTGGGAAAATGAGTTGCTTCCATTTGTGGTAATCAGTAACACTATCAGTAAGTTCATCATAACAATATGACATAATACGCATAGTATTCAGTAAAGATATGGAATTAAAAGTCATAACAATTAGCTTAGGATGCATGCACACACTATTTCGAAAAATGAAATTAGTTTTAATATCACGTAGCACACAGAGAATATTAAGATGAATTCGAATACAGCTTAACAGAAAATGATCGGACAGAAATTAAATATTATAAAATTATTTAATACAAACGACAGCTGTTTAAAAATCAAATTATAATTACACTTATTACACAGCCAAAAATATTTATACATTTTGTAATGGAAAACTTTTGTTTTTGCAGATGTCTGACAACATGCAAGACAGTTAACTCATTCCATCTCGTGATCGATTGCAAACAAATTACTGACTAAATTCAAATTAAATAATGCACGAGTGGTGTGACTGCACTTGAGATGGGACTATACATTCTGCATAATTGGTATTTAACCATACCACTAGAAGTGTTTATGACTATTCGATTTTGCGTTGACTTGAAATCAAGTTTTTTTTTTAACCCGAATTTTTTGATTTGTCCAACACCGAATCCAGAAAGAAATAAAACCACAGTTTTTATAATGTATCTCCTGTCTTTTTTAATGATTAATTTAAGTATTAAATTTTATTTAAGGATTAATTTTTTTAAACCATCAGTCATTTTTTAACACAGTACAACTACGCCCTCATGCATACTCTGTTCTTTATAAAATTTGAACAAAATCTATAAACGCCAGAACATGTCTAAGACATCAAAAAATTGAAAAACCATGCAAAATTATTTTCCGTTTAACTACTTTAATACCACGTGGGATCTGAAACTTCAACCAAATAATGTTCCCCTTTTACTGATGTTCTATTATTGATGCATGAAATTAAACTCTCCCACAGTAGTCAGTTGTGTGCCTAGAGGTCAAAGAGATTAAGGGTTTATAATTTAATGTCCAAAGACATAATTGTGATCAACATTATGGCTACTTTTACTTTCTAGACTAGCTGATATCAGTAAATCTAAAGCTGGGTAAGGTTCAAGCTGCTACCGGGGAAACCACCAGCTTTTCACAGAGAAACTCAGTGCTTTACTCAGAAGCCACTATGCCATAGTGGCTTCCTTTGCATTCTTAGAAAAAAATTTATAATAATAAAATTTAGCTTTTAAAACATCATATTTTAGAAATAAATGCAGATAACAATAATAAATATTTAGAAAAAAAATTTCGAAACCACAACAATGAATCGACATCAAAAATGTTTTGTTGATTGAATAATGTTTTCATTTCTACTCTCTATGACAAAAAAATCGACGCTCCAAGAAGGAGTTGTCTGATTAAAGCGAAAATTGGTGGATAGGAAGACAATGTACAGAATAGTAAATGATTAAAATTTCAGAACAATTGAATAATTTATTGATGAGTGAAGAAAAGACG